TGGCAAGTCCAGGATGGCTTCATTTACATGCTTGGTAACTTCGAGAAATGGCTATGAGTTTGGGCACAGCTGGCCTCCCCTCCCACTTTATATGGGGCTCAGGGTTCCATTGGAGCAAGACAGGAGCTACCAGTTTTCTATTCTATTTTTTTTCTTTCCTCCCTATAAGCACTGAACCCAGTGTATTTGCACAGAGCTACATCCCCACCCCTTTTGATACAGGGTCTTACTTAGTTGATGAGTTGCCCAGGCTTTGCTAAAACTTGGGATCCTCCTGCTTCATCCTCCCAGAGTGCTTGGATTACAGGTTTGTGCCAGCATGCCCAAATGCAGCATTGGATTTCTTAAAAGTTTAGGTCTGGAACTGATATAGCATCAATTCTATTCAATTTTTTGATCAAATCAGTTACAGGCAAGTCCAGGTTCAAGGGAGGATTATCAAAGCACACGTAGTCATTTTTAATTGGGCGCAATTTTTTTCTTTCTGATACTGGGGATTGAACTCAGGACCTTGTGCTTTCAAGGCAGGTGTGGTGCCACTAAGCTAAATCCCTGGCCCTTGGCACTTCTGAGATAAAGTATTGTCAAATAAATAAATATTCCTAAGGAAAACAACTCTCAGTTCAGTATCTTTCTGGAAGTCTCAGGCTTCTGGTTGAAGTCTTAGACTTACCTAAATTCAAGGAAGTTTTCAAAATGTTGAAAAAAAAAAGCAAAAAAGAAGTGCAAAGGTTAAAAGCAGGGCTGGTCATGGTGGCACATGTTTGTAATCCCAGCTACTCAGGGAAGGGTTACAGGCTGTCTCAAAATGAAGGAATAAAAACAGCTGGAGATTCAGCCAGTGCTGACTCCATTTGCTTTTGAGTAGCATGAAAACAAAACAAAACAAAACAAAACTTAGAAGAACTGTAATGTAAAAGTATGTACAACCTTTTATATATATTTTATTTACTAATTTATTGATTTAGAGCAGTGAGCACTGTAAATTGGTTTAGGTCCCTTAAAATTGTAATCAAAATTTTGTATAAAACATCTGCTATGTACACCTTTCTAGGGCAGGGATGGTGAACCTTTTAGAGCTTTCAATGATAACAAACAGCCTGCTGTGGCACTCATGTCATAGGTTCGCCACTGCTGGTCTAGGGCGTTGGTTCATAAGATTTTATTGATTTCTCAAAGGCTCTAACACCCTCTCCTCTAATCAGGCAGTTCCTAAGCAAACTGGAGAGTAGATAAACATTTTTGGAACTGTCTCCCTTTATAACAACCAGCCTTGTGAAATGATGGCAATTGCTTGATTTTTTAAAAAACCTATTATGATCTGCCTGTGTGTCTGGAGCAGTCCTGTGATGACTTTTGGGTTAGTTACTTTTCTGCGGTTGATGAGACAAAATACCTGACACCCAAAGTTGGTGGGGGAAGGTGTTCATTTGGCTTCCAGTTCATAGAAGTTTCAGTTCATAATTGGCCAACTTCAAGGCAAGGATGACAAACAGGCATTGCAGAGGAGAAACAACATGGCGAGCAAAAGGTAGCAAAGGCAACAAGAGAGACTTTAACAGCCTCTTTCTGCCCCTTTTATCTTATTCAGACTACAGGGATTAGGGCGGTGCCAAACTAATGACTCACATGTAGTGGTTTAGTAATCACATGCTTTAGCCCCAGCATCACACATTACAGATTCAACTACCTCTGAAAAAGAAAGTCCTGGGCCCAGGATTTAGCTCAGTGGTTTCACTGCCTGCCTTGCAAGCACAAGGACTAGAGTGCAATTGCTGGGACCCCCCCGAAAAAAAAGAAAGTCCCACCTCATCTGCATGAAGCTTTGGGAGGACATCTAAACATAAATCATAACAATGCTACAAGGTGGTACTATTGTCCCATTTGTACAGATGAGGCACAGTGCTTCTCCTTTGGCCACAACTAGCACGAGTGAGGCTAGGAACCTACCACACTGGCTTTGGAAGTCTTGTTTATGTGTAACAGCTTGCTTGCTTGTAAATCAGGGGCAACAGTGAGGGAAAAGAATGGGTTAAAGTAGGATAGTCCAGCCCGGCCTGGTGGTGCATGACTGTAATCCCAGCACTTGGGAGGATGAGGCAGGAGGATCACTGTGGGTTCAAAGCCAGCCTGGGCTACATAGAACCTACCACACTGGCTTTGGAAGTCTTGTTTATGTGTAACAGCTTGCTTGCTTGTAAATCAGGGGCAACAGTGAGGGAAAAGAATGGGTTAAAGTAGGATAGTCCAGCCCGGCGGGGTGGTGCATGACTGTAATCCCAGCACTTGGGAGGATGAGGCAGGAGGATCACTGTGGGTTCAAAGCCAGCCTGGGCTACATAATGAGTTCAAGATCAGTCTCACATACATAGCAAGACACTGTCTTAAAAAAAAAAAAAAAGAAAGTTAATCCATAGCTGCTTGGCTGGCAATAAACACAAACTCTTATATTCCAGCAGGTTCTTCCATCAGTCACTGTAGAGCCCCAACAGGGAGTGGTGAGAAAGTTTTGAAAGTCTAGGGCCAAAAGCCAGGTATTTCTCTCCTCACTGAACCCTCTGATAGTCTCATGGTTTCTCTTAAAATTGCATGTAAATATTGTATACTATTTCACAATTCATTGCTATCTACTGATAGAACACTGTTTAGTCCAGCTTGGGATCACTTTTTCTCTGGGGCTGCACCTCCGTATTCCCCGGCTTCTTCCACATCTTGGCTCCTGGAGGGTTTAGCAGGGTTTAGTGGGGATTAGGTCTCAACTGTCTGGCCTGGCTTTTGGCTCCATTTATATTCAGTTAGATGCTTCCATGGTGTTTCAAGGGTATGGATTCTGCCTGGGAACGCATTCAGGATCTTTCCTCCCACCACCCTCTGAAGAAACACAAACAGGACCTCAATGGAAGAACACCCTCCTAGAAGGCCATCACCTCCACAGCCTAGTATTGCAGCTGTGTAGTGTGCCCTGTATCTCCCATGTTCTAGAATACTGGAAGGTGACTAGGCCATCCCAGAGGAGGTCCAAGTGATAAAATCACCTCAATTGCTTTTGTGGCACCATCATGATGTGCTTTATTTATAGAGGCAGTGGACTCCATGGGGCAGTTGGTCTTGGATAGGTAACAGACCTTTTCACCCTCTGACTTGAAGTGAATTTCTTGGTCTCCAGATCATTATGTTTCAATTATGTATGCAACTGCCTTTGTCACTCCTGGTTATCACAATTCAGTTCTCAGCTGTTGCAGAAAAACCTCTTTCAGACTGTAAATGGAAATAAGTGTGAAAAAATGATGCAGATTATCTCTAGTTTGTGCAAAACATTCTCTGCTTTATTTTTACAGCCCAAGTCTTTCCTGAGGGTATGAATTGGTTTTTTGTTTTGTTTTGTTTTTTGAGAAAAAGTCTCACCATGTGGTTTAGGCTGGTTTTGAACTATGTATGTAGCACCTTGAACTCGCAGTGATCTCCTGCCTCAGGCTCCTGAGTGTTGGGATTACAGACATGCTCCACCAAACCTGGCTAGGAGAAGATATGAATTGTTCTTTTTTTTTTTTTTGGTACTGGGGATCAAACTCGTGTCCTTACACTTGTGAGGCCGAGGCAGGTGGCAGAACCACTGAGCTAAGTCCCCAGCCCGAGGATCTGAATTGTTAAAGGGAAGTCATGTTTTGCTTTTTGAAGACATTTTGTACCCATTTTTCACTTATGTGAATTGATTTTATCAACTTGATTCTCTATCAAGTAATTAAAATAAATTAAAAATAAATACATAAATTGCCTAGCCTGGTAGTTTTGGAACAAAGAGTCCTTAACTTGTTTGGGCTTCATCTTCATCACCACTACCAACATCATTATTATTTTTCCAGGGCTAGGAATTGAACCCAGGGCCTTCGCACTGACTACAATTTCAGCCTTTTTTTTTTTTTTTTTTTTTTTTTTGATAAGGGGAATCAAACTCCAGACCTTGTGCTTGCGACGCAGGTGGCAGAACCACTGAGCTAAATCCCCGGCCTTTTCAGCCTCTTTTTAAATTTTGAGACCAGTTTTCATTAAATCTCTAAATTGCCCAGGTGGGGCTCAAATTTGCTGTCTTCCTGCCTCAGCCTCCCAGAATGCTGGATTATAGGTGTTTGCCTGTTAAGTATACATTTTTCATGTGTAAAATGAGCTGAGTGCTGGTGACTACATGACTTTACTAAAGTCCTTTTTTGTCTGGAATTGTACAATATTGTCTTTTAGCCTGGTGGTTATCAAACTTTGGGTTTCCTCTTATTAGTAGGCAAAAAACAAAACCAACAAAAAACAGAAGCAAAAAACCCAATTAATTTAGTGGGTTAAATACATTAAAAAAAAAAACCCAGGAAAATACCGTTTGGATAAAATCCTTTCAGAATAGCTACTTAGTGTTATTATGTACATGTACCAATTTCTCAGGACATGTACCTAAAAAAATGTAGCTATTTGGGGTTTGTGAAATACACACCAAGCTGGTTGTGGTGGCACATGCTGTAATCCCAGCACTCTGGGAGGCTGAGGTAGGAATATCACAAGTTCGAGGCCAGCCTGGGCAATTTATAGACTTAGGGAGACCTCGTCTAAAAGTTGAGGAAAAGCGGAGGGGAAAGAAAAAAAAAAAAAAAAAAAAAAAAAAAGGGCTGCAGAGACAGCTCAATGTAAAGACCCTAGATTCAATCTCCAACACTGGAAAAAAAAAAACAACAAAAAATCCCACCAAAAGTGTTAACTCACTGAGGGTGAGGATAAACACCCTCCAGACGTGTAGACTGCAGGAATTTGGTAACAGGCTTTACGAGCAGTCCCGTCTCGGAACCCCTATTTGGGTGTCCCGTGCAAAAGTCTGAAGTAAACCAAGGTACCAACCACAGTCCCAAGAGCCCGGGCGACCGTGGGGCCGCGTCGGAACGCGCTCGCAGCACCTCCCGCTCGGGGCGTGGGCCGAGGGGCTGCGCGCGTCTCCTGACGTCATTGCCGCGCGCCGCCGCCCCGCTTCTTCCACTTCGCGGGAGAGGTAGTTGGCGCCAATGGGTCCAGATCCCCGCTAACGGATTGCCCGGCCTTCTGGTCTATCCGTCTGCTCCTACCTCCTGGGGTTGCGATGGTGAGTCCCGGGGCAGGCAGTGCGTGTCGGGGGCTTGGGAGACTTTGCAGGCCGGGTGTGGACGGGGCGTTCCTGGTGGGAAGGTGGGGGAGCGGAGGCTCGAAGGGGCCGCGCTCTGGTCACTGAGCACACAACTTGTCCCGGATCGCGAGCTCCCGTTGCGACCGCAGCTCCTGTGCAGGGATTTCGGTGGAGCCCGGCCCTCTTTCTTTTCTTTTTTCTACTCTTGGGGGAAGGGAGGAAGGAAGACTAATTACTTTGGGGCGCAGCATTAAGGTTACTTGTCTGTTCAGCGTTGCCCCAAACCTCAGGCTGAATGCTTGCTAAAGCTCAGATTTCCAGCTTTGGGGCGTTAAGGACCAAGAATGTAGCAAACTTTATTTTCTCTTGAGTAAGTTGTCCCAGGCCTTCGACTTCCAGAAGCAGTTTCCCGAGTCTCTCATCTCAGCTGTGTGCAGATCGGATGGCGGAAAATGTTTTGTTAGATAAGATTGTAGGAGTTAAACAGAATATACAGTTTACCAGGAAAAGAAAAAGTAGAAACGTGTAATGTTTGACAGCTGTCATCTCTGATCACCTAATGTTAAAAAACTTGGAACCTCAAAACTTCAGTGCATCACTTTAATAAAACATTCAAAGAAATTGAGAGTAAAATCATTAGCAGCTGGCCCAAAAACAACAAAACAAAACAAATAAACAAAAAAACCCCACGATGGCAGTGGATATAATTTGAAATATTTTTAAAAGACAAAGCTGTTCCATTAAACCAGAAGATATTTAAACCAGGTATAGTTATTTTTTCAATCATTCTTCACAGCTTGCCAGAGTGCTAACATTCCAAGGGAAGAAGTTTTATGGCAAATTTGTAAACTGCAGATCTGTTTTGTTCATTTAAAAAGATAAAGCCGGGCGTGTTGGCTCACGCCTGTAATCCCAGCACTGGGGAGGCTGAGGCAGGAGGATTGCCATGAGTTCAAGACCAGCCTGGACTACATAGTGAGTTCCAGGTCAGTCTCAATTACATAGTGAGACCCTGTCTCAAAAAAAGACAACCCTAAAAACAAAAAACAAAAACAACCCCCCCAAAAACAAACAAAAACTAAAAAGATAAAATATAAAGCTGGGCATCGTGGCACACGCCTGTAATCCCAGCACTCGAGACTGAGGCAGGAGGATCACTTTGAGTTTGAGACCAGCCTGGGCTACATAGTGAGTTCCAGGTCAGTCTCAACTATATAGTAAGACCCTGTCTCAAAAAACAACAACAAAAAAGTTAAAATAATAGTGATAATAGCCATCCTGAACCAACGACCTCACTGAGCTGTTTGCTTTTTCCCTCTGGTATTGGGGGTTGAAGTCAGGGCCTTTGTACTGAGCAGCATCCCCAGGCTTTTGAAAATTTTGTGACAGGGTCTTGCTAAATTGCCTGGATTTGTGATCCTTCATTAGCCTCCCCGAGTGCTGGGATTACAGGCATGTGCTACCACATTTATATTGAAATGTTTCCTTTAAATGCATTTTTTCATTTCAACTCACAACAAGTTAAATAGTTTGTCATATAACTAACTAGTAGATGATTGATTAGAATTAAAAGTAGGTGATTGACCACTACATTGTACTGTTTTTCTAAAATGATCATCTTTGCATTTTGGAGTTCAAGCACTGTGGTATTTTGGAAAGTTGATGAGATTTGGAGTCTTTAAGATGAAGAATGAGGTGATGTTTTAGTTTGATAGTTTATAGTTATGTTAGTGTATTAGTACAATTTAACAGTTATGTGGTTTTGGGCAAGTAAATAGTTGATCTTTAATCTCAGCCTCTATTTTCTTGTCTGTAAAAAAAAAAAAGAGGAGCAAGGGAATGATAGCTATTGTAAATGTTTATTTTGGGTATTAAACAAGGTAGTATATACAAATTTGAATTCTGCATGGGTTGGCATGTATTATGCACCTTCCCAACTACCAATGTCCTGTGTCCTCAGATAGGACTGTAGAAAAGTAGCATAGATTTTAAAGGGGGATTGTAGATGTCTTTGGTGTCAGTTATGGTGAATGACAGCTTGTATGTCAACTTTTGATCATTCAGATACTTTTAAATTTTGATTTACTTCTTTAGTATTCCTGTTCATGGTGCTGATGAAAAGCAGACCTCTTTGTAGAAAAGAAATAGATCAGGGCCATGGATTTAGCTCAGTGGTTCCGCTGCCTGCCTTGCAGGGATCCCGAGTTTGATCCCTGGTACCAAAAAAAAAAAAAAAAAAAAAAGAAAAAGATCAAATTGGTCAGTTTTACTCTTTGTTATTGGAAAACGTTCTAGAAATTAGATAAGAAATTTGTATTATGTTGGTAGTATTTACCTAAGCCCTCTATTCTGTAGTATAGAGTCTAGCAAAACCCTAGACTAGAATTCTATTTTTAAAAAAAATTTTTTTTCTTGAGACAGTGTCTCACTAGTAGCTCCAGCTGGCCTTGAACTCACTATGTAGCCCAGGCTGGCCTCAAACTCATGGTGATCCTCCTGCCTCAGCCTCCTGAGTCTTGTGATTACAGGTGTATGCCACCACATCCGGTGTTTAAAAAATATTTTTTGGACACTTGAGCACAAGTCATATTATAGGACAGTAGTTCTTCTATTTGAGTCAGAGTTCTTGTTGATAAATGTGGTGAATTGTGTGCAGAATTTCTGCCCAGAAAAATGCATATAGGCACATAACACAGCATTTTAGGAGATTCACCTAGCTTCTGAAGCCCATTCATAAACAAAAGGTTAACAGCTCTTACCCTGGGAGCTCCATTTTTTACCTTAAGTACTTTGCAATCAAAAGTTATCAATAAAGAGATAAAATACTGGATCCACATAGAATTATGAATTGTGAGTGGCCATTAGAAAAAGAAAATTTTATACCATGGTATGAAACATTTGTCAAGATATAAACTCTTTGAAAAGATATACAAGGAACTGATAAATCTGTTGCCCCAGAGATGGGAAGTATGTGTCTGAGAGGCTGAGTAGGAGGAAGACTATCCTTCTGAATTTTGAACCATGTGAATGTATTATTTATGAATGTAATAGAAATGAAAGGCAAAAAGGAATAAAATAGCCATGTAATAAATGATTTGGATCACTATGACATTTAATTTCTCAAACTATAAATAAAACCTGATAGATGTCATTTTTTTTGGTACTGGGGATCGAAGTCAGGTCCTTGTGCTTGCAAGGCAGGTGGCAGAATCACTGAGCTAAATCCCCAGCCCTCAAAGATGTCATTTTAAAGAATTCATGTATAATTAATTTGCTGGTATAATTATTGAAAATATGCATAAAGTTGAATTAATACATGTTTAAGGGACAGTCTTTTGTGATCTGTCAGATCAATTTAAATACATTGTGACCTGAGCCACCTCATTGCCCCACTCTGAGGGCGCCTTTCACATCATATTTGCTAGGTTGAATGCTCCTAGAACAATGCTGTGACTCCCTGTATTGTAGCTTCTGCCATGTACATATGTCTATATCTCTATATATTTGTTTGTCAGTCTATCCATATTAGTATTTGGCCTCTTCAGCCCCTACCTGCCTCTTCCTCTCTTTTTTATGGGGTGTGAAGTATAGAGGTCTCAGTTTACTCTTTTGCATGTAGATATCTAGTCTTGGCACCATTTTTTGAAAAGATTGTTCATTCTTAGTACCCTTGTGAAAACTTAGTTCACTGTAAAAGTGAGAGTTTTTTTCTGGATTCTAAATTCTGTTTGGTCTGTACATCTATTTTAATGCTGCTGCACACTGTCTTTCTTACTGTGGTTTTGTAATAAATTTTGAAATTGGGAAGTATGACTTCTCCAGCTTTGTTCTGTTTCAAGATCATTTACTCGTCCAGTTTCTTAGATTTCCAAGATTTAGATTTAGAATCAGCCAGTTCACCTGGAATTTTGATAGAAAATGTCTTGAATCTGTACATCAACTTGGGGAGTATTGCCATTTTAATATTAAGTCTTCTGATCCATGAACATAGTATGTCTTTCTATTTATTTAGGCCTTTAATTTTTAAAGAACTTCTATGGTTTTCAGAGTATGGATTTAAAATTGTGGTTTTTTTGGGAAACATTATGTTCCAGGTTGGCATTAAATTTGTTATTTAGCCCAGACTGGTCTTAAACTTGAGATCCTCCTGCCTCAGCCTCTCAGTGCTGGGCTTACAGGCATGTACTACCATCCTGTCTGATTTTGTACTTTTGTTAAATACATTCCTAAGAAACTTGTTTTTTTTGTTAATAAATTCTATTTTATCCCATTCTTCCCTCAAGCCCCTTCCCCAAAAGCTTTGTTTCCATTTTTTCTTTTATTTTCACTTTTTTTCCTTGTCCCTTCCTTCTTCCTGCTTCCCTTGTTCCCCTTTCATTTGAATACTTTTTTCCCCATTTCCCAGCATCCATTATACATCTCAATCCTTGTTTCCACATTGTTTCTCATACCGGAGAAACAATGCAGTGTGTAAACATGTGTGTCCTATTTCTTTCTTTTCTTTTTTTTTTTTTTTTTTTTTTTTTTTTTGAGTCAGGGTCTCAGTTCAGACTGCCCTGGAACTTATTGTATAGCCCAGGCTGGTCTTGAACTCACATTGATCCTCCTGCCTCAGCCTCCTGAGTGGATCACAGGCATGCCCCACCACGCCTGGCTACTATTTATTTCACTTAAGAGTATGGTCTCAAGGTCCATCCATTTAGCTAAAAATGACTGAATGTCATCTTTATGGCAGAGTAGTACTCCATTGTATAAAAAAAACCCCACATCTTCTTTATCCATTCATCTGTTGATGGGCATTTGGTCTTAGAAACTTACTCTTTTTATTTTGTTTTGTTTTGTTTTTTGATTTTTTGAGTCAGGGTCTTACTATTATCTGTTGATGGGCATTTGGTCTTAGAAACTTACTCTTTTTATTTTGTTTTGTTTTGTTTTTTGGTTTTTTGAGTCAGGGTCTTACTATATAGTTGAGACTGACC